TCTCTTTCTCTCCCTCCCTCCCTCCCTTTCTCTTTCTCTCTTTCTTCTCTCTCTCTATCTCTCTAAAAATCAATTTTAAAAGAAAATTTTAAGATACAAAGCCTTGCATATATGTCCATTATAATTAGTAATCAGTAACTTCTAATTTCATATCTGGCCCTATTTTCCAACCTTGAATGACAATTACCAGATCATCTAGCAGGTATAATATAGACTAAGATCTGTATAAAAGAAAAGGCAATTAGTATAATCATTAATTAGGAATGATACAATGCTTACTTAGGTAAGCAATGGCATAGGAGGGAGGGAGGGAAGGAAAAAGGAAGGGAGAAAGGGAAGAAGGGAAGGAAAGAAGGAGGGAGGGATTATAGGATGGAGGGGGGAGGAAAGTAATACCATGGTGAAATACATAAGGACAATAACAAAATATGTAGCTTGGTACCAGACTGAATACGAATCACCTTAATTCTATAAGCAATGGGGGGGAAATCAATATATGTTTTAGAGTAAAAACAAAAAATATTAGACTACACTTTAGAAAGATAATCCTGCGAACAGTCTAGAATGGGATAAAAGGCATACAAAACTGGATGCTGGGTGACCAGTTAGAGAGAATATGAATAGTAGGAGCCTAAAATTGTACAGTAGCAGTTTACTCTCATTTTTAATCATAAGGGAAAAAATCTTGCAGTCTTATGCATTATAGATACAAGTCTGTATTTTCATTTTATAGAATCATGGTCAAAGAACAATTTAACTCTACATACAGCATGAGATTCTGAAGCCTGGAACAGGAAAGCATTTTAGTGGAAAAACTTGTAAAGTCCATAGTTGTAGTTTCTAGTATCATACCCAAGGTTAATTTCTTATTCTTCAGAAATGATCTATGTTAACATAATATGGTAACAAGAGGAAGTTGGGTGAAGGAAATACAGGAATTATCTGTGCTATTTTTAAACTTACAAAGAATTGAAAAATTTTTCTCAAAATAACATTTTTTTAAGAATAACCAAAAAAAAAAAAAAAAAAAAAAAAAAAGTCCCTCCCCCAATAAAAAGGTTCTATTGTAAATAGGGCCCAAAGAAGAGGCTAGGAATTGCAGGAAGAAAAGAAGAGAAGGAGAGAGAGACCCGTGGTACCATCACACAGTAAGAATAATCACTTATAAATGTCTGAACTACCTGCAATTATCTGTAATCTATAAAATGGCTTTAGGGACTCATGATCCCCCTATAATTATATATTAGCATCTATGAGTAAATTTCTGAGGTTTTATTAAAGAAAAACACTTCAGAATCACTAATCCTATCTAATAAAAGAATAATATGCAAATTAACCACCTCATCACTCTGCTACACCGACAAGCCATGCTGACAAACCACACCCATCAGCCAATCAGAGTGAGTATGCAAATAAACCCAATCAAGATGGCTACCGCCACAGAGAGCAGGAGAGGCTTGGGTTTCCCAGGCAATGGAGAAAGCCAAGCTTTCCACCTGCCCTTGCAGGCCTAAGCCTCCACTTAAGGTTACAAAATTGCAATTATAGAAGGTAAACAAATCCAAACAGAAATGGCAGCAGCCACAGAGATGGAAAGAGCGGGAGGCTAGGGTTGACTCCTGCAGTGGAAGAAGCAAAGCTTTCTGCCCACCCTGGCCCTTAAGGCTACAAAGTTTTCAATTATAGAAGGTACATAAGTCCCAATAGAAATGGCTGCCAGCCACAGAGCGGGCAGGAGGCTTGGATCCACTCCAGGCTACAAAGTTTCAATTGTAGAAGGTAAATAAATTCCAGATACCAGGGCCTTCACTTGGGTCACCAGGGGGTATGGCCAGCCTGCAAACCACTAGAGGCCCCTCGCTCAAGCTGCCCCACGTCTCAAGGGAACTCCCACCCTGATCCAGAACATTCTTCAGGGCAAACCAGCTGCCCCCCACCCGAGCACCAGGCCTCTATCCTAACTAATAAAAGAGTAATGTGCAGATTGACCATCACTCCTACACACAAGATGGCTGCCCCATGTGGTCAAAGATCCTGCCTCCATGTGAACACAAGATGGCCACCACAAGATGGCCAGCAGGGGAGGGCAGTTGTGGGTGATCAGGCAAGCAAGGGAGGGCAGTTGGGAGGCATCAGGCCTGCAAGGGAGGGTAGTTGGAGGCGATCAACCCTGCAGGGGAGGGCAATCAGGGGTGACCAGGCTGGTAGAGGAAGGAAGTTGGAGTCAAACAGGCTGGCAGGGGAGCAGTTAGACAACAATCAGGCTGGCATGGGAGTGGTTAGAGGGTGATCAGGCTATCAGGCAGAAGTGATTAGGAGCAATCAGGAAGTCAGGCAGACGAGCAGTTGGGAGCCAGCAATCCTGGATTGTGAGAGGGATGTCCGACTGCCCAGTGGGATCGGACCTAAATGGGCAGTGGGACATCCCTCGAGGAGTCCCAAATTGGAGAGGGTGCAGGCTGGGCTAAGGGACACCCCACCTCTGTGCACAAATTTCGTGCACTGGGACTTTAGTAAAATATAAAAAAAAAATCATCTAAAGCAGTGTTTCCCAAAGTGTGGTACGCGTACCCCCAGGGGTACGGGAAGAGTTTGGTGGGGGTACGCATTACACTGGAGTTTGGTGGGAATATGCACTTCACTGTGATTAGCTGTGTCTAATTCTACGTTCTCATGAGTACAAGGGGTACTCAGTGTTACGAAAATTATAGAAGGGGTACACATATGTCAAAACTTTGGGAAACAGTGATCTAAAGTAACAGAAAATAAAATCATGTACAACTTTCTAACACTGATAATGACAAATCTAAGTAAAAAAGATAGGTTGGGCCGAAACTGGTTTGGCTCAGTGGATAGAGCGTCAGCCTGTGGACTGAAGGGTCCCAGGTTCGATTCTGGTCAAGGGCAGTACTTTGGTTGCAGGCACATCCCTAGTAGAGGGTGTGCAGGAGGCAGCTGGTTGATGTTTCTCTCTCATCGATGTTTCTAACTCTCTATCCTTCTCCCTTCCTCTCTCCAAAAAAATCATTAAAATACATATTTTTTAAAAAGATAGGTTGGATGTACAAAAAATGCAAACAAAAATACGATCAAATGAAAAAGAAAAATACTGAAAACAGCTGCAACAAACATGACTTGGAATTAATATTTATGATTTTCAAACAAATTTTTAAAAACTATAAAAAACCCAATGTGCTGAAAATGGAACAGAGGTTCTGCAGCAGAACATGTAACAAGAGGAAAGGCCAGGAAAGAAGACAGTTGCCAATGGGGAGGCAGACTGCAAGATAGTGTGTGTGTGAGAAAATAAAGGGAGAGTGTGTGGTTACACAGGGAGTGTTTGTTGGTGAGATGAGGGACAGCTATACTCCAGGAGACGGTAGGGGACTGCTCGGAGACTGTTGGGCAGGGCTCCCCTGACTGGGCAGCCCCCACTGCTGCTGTGTTCCCTCCCGGAGCAACTGGCTCGATGCAGAGACCACGCCGTCTTGAAGGGGAAAGTGGATGTTATCGGAAACCTGAAAAGCCCTGGGAATCTACAACTACGGCACCCACCAAACAGCTGCAAACCCGAGAACACTGGTCCCCACGTGGCGCAAGCACGCGGATTCAGAGGAGCTCTACGCTCCCTCACGGAAAGGTCAGATTTCGCCTGGGATAAGGAGAGAGAGAACTACTTAACCAGACACCCAGAAAAGAGAGAGCATGGGGAGACAAAGAAACAGCCCGCCTATGAAAGCAAAGCAGGCATCACCAGCAAAAGAAGTAAACGAAATGGAGGCAAGCAACCTGTCAGAGAAAGAATTCAGAGAAATGGTTATAAGGTGGATGAAAAGAATAGGAGACAAATTCGACAATATGTGTAAGAACCAAGAGGAAATGAAGAAGAACCAAGAAGAACCGAAAAATGACATCGCTGCTCTAAAGAACTCAATAGAAAGCATCAAGCGTAGACTAGAAGAAGCAGAGGGCCGCATCAGTGAGCTAGAAGACAAGGTAGGAAAAAATACCCACGTAGAGCAGCTTCTAGAAGAGGAAAGGCCAGCTAATCTATGAAATCCTAGACTTCCCTAAGGCTGTCACAGAGCCGAGGTCCTATTGCAGTGGCATGAACTGCTCCGAAGAGTGACAGGTCCCACCAAGAGAAGACAAGACACATGACCTACTGCTCCCTTTAGTAGAGCATGAGAGCAAGAAAATACTGCAATAAAGGCAGAAAGGAAGAAAGAGCTAAAATGCTTTTAAAACGCAAAAGACTGAGCAAGGACCAGTATGACTGGGAGCCCAGACACCAGGGATTCGGCACTCACTCACAGTCAGGCCTACAACAGCTGCTCGGAAGAAAGACTGGAAGCAGGTCTGGAGACTTGAGAGTGAGCTCTCCTCAGTGGTGCATAGGCATCAAACTCTCCTATCTCCCTGCACCCCTGGCTCACAAAACACAGGCCGTAAGCTGACAGGGAAGGACAGGAAAGCCTCCCAGGGTCCCCTGTGTGTGGGGAAGGGGTAGAAGCAAATATGGTGCCAAAGGGAGGGAGGTGGAGGAACTCTTGGCCCAGGATCTGCTGATGCATGTGAGGACACAGAAACCTCCCCCTCCAAAGCCTCCCAGGTTCAAAGTATACACTAGCTACCGTGGTATGCCCTTATGCATCTTACCTGAAAAAAATATAGAATAATGCCAAGTTGTAAAACTGAATAAGTCAAGGCTGAGTTTTCTCTGTTAGGTACTTCTGTGGTAAAATAAAAGATTACTGGCTCTCAAGCCTCCTGTAGGTTACACTGATAGGTATTTCATATTATATATTGTGCATACATAGTGTATCCCCTCTCCCACCGCCAATACCTAGCACAGCAACCTAAACATACAGAAAACCGTTGACACTATAAAGAATTTAAAAATACAGACATTCCTCCACATTACCTCTACTTTTGGGGGGTAGTGGGTATGCTATAAATAGAAACAGTCTCTGGTGATTCCCGCTCTGACCTCCTCTTACCCGCTCCTGCAGAAGCTCCACAACCTGCTGGACACAGTCATTCACATCACAGGAGTCTGTCTTCAGCACCAGCTCAGGGGCCTCTGGCTTTTCATATTCAGAATCAATCCCAGTGAAACCTATAAAAGGTACCAGATAATAAAGGAAGGCAGAAATTAAAAGCAAACTACCTTTGTTTCATCAGTGCAAGTCTCTGCTATGTTGAAGTTAATATTTATGCTGCCCCTCTAAGGTACAAGGTTAGAGTAATAAAACTTCTTCCTTGGGAGAAGATTTCTAATTAAACATTCATTTCTTCTTTATCCACATATAGTCAATTGTCATCATCACAGTAGTTGTGTGCTGTAAACACTAAATGAGTAAATACTGAAGCACTGTTCATAGGTAAAACTTGGGGTTATACTCCTGTGAGTTTCTGACAACAAAACTTTTGTTAACTGATTAATATATAACTCTGTTTTTTTGTGCATTTCTGTCTAAAGCACCTTTCTTAATATAGACCTGAGTGGCCAGATTATTTTGATCTCTGAAGGTATAATAATAATCTGGCCACTCAGTGTATTTCCTATATAATAAGAGGTTAATATGCAAATTGTCCCCTCAACTAGGAGTTCAACAAGCAGACAGGCCAGCCAACTGCCCATGTTCCCACGCCCTGGCCAAGCAGGCCAAGACCCCACCCATGCACAAATTCATGCATCAGGCCTCTAATACACACACACACACTGAGTGGCCAGATTATTATGTGTTCATAAAGTGTATATTGTTCATTCATTATCACTGAACTCATGACCAACAGCATTCTAACTCATGCTTGTGGGAATGAAGTGTATCTAACACATATTTCTCTGTACGGCACATGGCAGCCTTCCTGAACTTACCAGACTGCAATTCAGCACTAGGCTTGGGGCCACTTTAAACAGCAAAATCATCAACAAAAAGCACCCCAGAAATGCAAAAACCATGATACTAAATAAGCCACAAAAAGGACACTTCTTTACAGTATGATAGAGGAAACAAAGGCCAAATGTCACCTTGTTCAACTTCAATTAGGAATGTGTGCTCCGGATTACTAAAATTTTTGCCTCTCTGCACATGTCCACAAGTGACTGCTAAAGTGCCGTCAGTACATATGTGGGGGTTACAAATAAATTTTAGTGAGTAAGCCAACCCACAAATATGGACTCTTCAATTAATGAGGATCAACTATACTTCTGCTTTTTTTTTTCTTTTTAAATGTCTAAACTGCCTGTGAAGACACAGGAATTAACACCAGGCAAAAGGAGCACCTCATTTCTCTACAGAAATACAGAATATAGTACCTCTACTCTAGGCATAAAACTAAAATTGATAAGGTTTTTCCTCTCAATGCAGAAACAAACACCTGATCAGTCTGTCCACAGAGATTATGCAGGCTCCCCCTTGCCACCAGCTTAAGTGTTCAGGCAAGACAAATAACCACTCTTAGCTTAAACAAAACACAAATCAGGAGGGCAATCTGTTCTATCACAAAATGTATCTCACAATCAAATTCAGTTATTAACCACTATTTAAGATTCTCCCATTGTGACTGCCAAGAAAATAAAGAACAGGTGATGTTTTCCCAGAATGGGCTAGCTGAGCTGAAGACATGTTCTTCCTGTCTCCCACTTCTGCACCACCCACACACATAAGTCATTCAAGGCCTGCCCAACTTGGAATGCTTAGGTCTGCCTTGGATTAGAAGGATGAACAAGAATTGAACATCATTATTATTAAGAGGTACAGTTCTCAAAAGTACAGTTCTCTAAATATACACTACAAGTCTATAGTGTCCTCTTATTTCACTTTTTTCCTATTTAATATTTCTAAGTATCACATGAAGTCCTAAACCCAGGAAAAAATTTCTGATTTACTAATATTTCCAGCAGTATTTAGTGGTGAGTCACAATAAAACAGCAAGGGGGGGGGGGCGCGGGGGGTAGAGGGAGGGAGGAATAATTCTGGTTAAAACACTAGTTCTTAAGCTCTGACTCTCGAATGTGGCTACACACTGGGATCATTGTGTCCTATTCCCATGAGATACTGATTTCATTAGTCTAGGGACAGCACTGGCACTAGAGTTTTAAAAATTCCTACAAGTAATGCTAATTGTCAAGCAGTAAAGCTTAACAATCAGTATGTTAGAAAACTTGGCTTAACATTCTACTAGTCGAGGAATTCTCTTCCAAGCTAACTTATCCTGTAGATGAGGATAATACGCTAACACTGTAGAAAAACATTTATATTTCAGTAGTTAATAACTACATGAGCAATAATCATGAAAATAGGCATTAGAATGGCTGATAGAGTGACATATTTACAGTTTAATAAAAGCCAAATGACCTATAAAATCCTGAGACCTGCTGGATGTATGCAATTTCATCTGTCCTTGAATGTATATCATCAAGGCCCCAAAACAACACTGACAGGTACCTTTTTAAGTGTCATCTAACAAGAAATTTTTAAAAACAAACAAATGAACAATCAGAACTCCAGCACCATAGGAAACCTAAAATAAATGTGGGTACACATGTACATACACATACATATTTTAACCTGAGGAACATCTTATCAATGTGTGCACAAAAGCATTGAGAACAGGAAATTAGGGGGTGAAATTGGTTTCCCTCCCATGGTCACACATTATCCTGTGCTTTTTGAGTCAAGCAAGTGACAGCTTACCAATTGAAACTGAGTCTCCATGGGGCAGGGCAGGACCCCAACCTGGCCCAAGGACCCAGATTTCCCACAGTAGGATTTTGACCCAACCGCTAAAGCTTCCCCATGTCCAAAATACAGAAGAGCCCAGAATGACAAGCATTTTCCTTCCCATTCCACCTTTTCCTTTTCAGAACCAGAAGCTGGATGCCACCATCTATAATTCAGAGCTCCTGGAACTCCTGCAGAAGTCCCAGGCCATCGCACTCCCTGTGAGGAAGGTAAACAAAAGCTACCTGCATGAATCATTGATTCCTATATGAGGTTGACTGTGTAATCTACCTTTGACTTTTTTCTTTTTAACACTGCATGTGCTCTATTTCTGTTAATAATAGAACAGGACTAATGTCAAAGTTGTCTAGAAGATAAATAATATAATTGGTATCAAAGGCCACAGCAGACGAGATCTAAATGTCTCCTTCTATGTCCAAATGCTCATCACAGCTGACCATAAAACCTAAAAAGCAAGGTGTGTATATTTTGTGGAAACAGTGATACATTAGCCCAATCCAATTCAACAATTGTACACAGAATGAATAAGCCATCATTCCAAGCACAAGAACAAGACATTGTTCTTGCTCTCAGGATGCTTAAAATTCAGGCATTTTTCCCACTGGCTCTGAAATGTTCTACACTATCAATGGAACAAAGGGCTGTAATAGCAGCAGCTCGCCTTTGATATCCCATCTAATGCCAGGCAGCTAATTATTTCAAGGAGTTTCCACCAGCCCCCAAAGTCCCAACACTCTAAAATTCTGTCTTCTGATTGGGATTCCAACCGGAACAGTGATAGTCACTGTGAATACAAGTGCCAGTACCTCTCCTGGGCCTGAGAGCTACCACCATGTATTAAGACCCACTTTCTCTCTCAAGAAGCTCCAAGTCATTTGAATATCCCCAATCTCTTAGAAAAGATATGAAATTGATATGGTAAGATAAAATATCTAAACGAAGAGAAACTGGGGGGGAAATGTTACTTACCTTTAATTTCTCCAGCCCGTGCTTTTTTATAGAGTCCTTTGACATCCCTCTGTTCACAAACATGCAGAGGAGCATCAACAAATACTTCAAAGAAAGGTAAACTCGCACCCTCATGGATCTGCCTCGCATTGTTGCGATCCTTAGAAAAAAGATGGGTACAGAACAATAAAAAGTGTGTATACAAATCAAAGGTTCATGTGAATATCAAGGATGAGTAAAAAATAAATAAATTAGATAAAATCCATAACAATTTTTAAAAGCATACAATTCTTTTTTTTTTTAAATCAATCTTTATTGTTCATATTAATACAAAGGTTTCTCATTTCTTCCCCCCTCCACCAGGTTCCCACCCCACCCTCCGCCCCCTCCCCATTCCCCATTGTCGTCATCCATAGGTGCACAGTTTATGTTCAGTCTCTTCTTCTCTCCCTTTCCCCGATAGTAAATCCCTTTTCAGATAGTAAATCAGTTACTTAGCATTTTCTCATATCAATAATACCTCCACATGCCCAATGATACACTTCACACAAAAGACATTTCCCAATAGGTCAACTAGCCTCATCCAGACCCCACCGAAGGCACTCACAGATCAACACCCCTATACTAACTCAACACATCCAGATCTAAGCCTTCATCACTTGATTCAGCAGACCCTCAAGTTCCCGCGAAAGTTTCCAGCCATGTCTGAGAGGCAGCCGTGGGGCAGGGGCAGGCAAGGAGCGAGCTGTTCCGAGCCTGGCTGCTCAGGGCCTGGCCTCTGTTGCTCTGGTTCGTTCCACAACAAGCTGCTCTGGGTCTGGTCACTGCCGCTCCCAACCTAGTTGCTCTGGACTTGGTTGCTGCTGCTCCGGGCCTGGCCGCACCCGACCCGGCTGCTCCGGGCCTGGCTGCTCCCAGCCTGGCAGCCGCTGCTCCGGGCCTGGCCGCACCCCACCCGGCTGCTCCCCCGGGCCTGGCCACTCCCAGCCTAAAGCATACAATTCTTAAAATGAGATATTGGGGGAATTCAAGGAGGGAAAAGTAACAGATGCCCCATAAAAACTTCCATTTGATTTTATGAGGAACCTGAGCCAGAGCACAGCTTGAATACAGGATCATCAGGCCTCTCCCTAATGTTCAACCTCAGCCTACACAAGGGCCATTCAGAAGTTTGAGGCTAGTTTATTCACTTGCCAGATGCAAACCCCTCATCTATAGATGTTTGGGCGTATGCTCTTACCACCTCCCTGGCAGGAACACCTCCCCACACACCCACTCTTCTGGCTAACGCAAGGTGCTCCCTCACAGCATATCCTCAAGGTGGCATCCTCCAGGAGTCCTCCCGTGCATGCCCAGACTGAGGGTCCTTGCTCTCTCCAGCTTCCCAGATGTACCTACCATGTACCTCTGTCATAGATCTTATTCCCATATATTAAAATCATTTCACTAGCTTTATAGCCATAGTGTCTGGCAGAGTGATTACTAAGTTGTGATCTTACTGCTCCAGCTGTCCTTTCAAAGAAGGTGCTTGAGTTTCCATCAGCAGCCCTCCTCTCATTCTATCATATATGCTCTTCTGTATACTCAACTTTACTTAGGTTTCAACTAAGGAAGTGAATGATAACTAAACCTGTATCTCAATTCTACTTTCCTGGGCTCCAGAACCAATGTCCATTAGCACTTCAAATCTAACCCACCTGAAGTGAATACTCAACCTCTCCCTTTCTATCCCATATTTTCTAACTTAATAATTCCATCTTTATTCAGAAAGCACCAGCCTTCACTCCCTAGCTGCTCTCCCTGAAAAAAAAAAAAAAAAAAAAAGCAGCAGCAGCAATTATTAACCAGACACCAAGTCTGCTATTGCTAATGGCTCACCAGCCCTTCAATATGTCCATTCCCAAATGCCTCCTAACCAGTCTTCCACCTCCAGGACATTCTCATCCAGGTTCAAAGATTCCTCACTAAGGTGCAAACTCAATGACAACATTCCCCAGCATTCTTGAACTGTTAACTACCCCAAGGGTCTGCAAATTGCTCTAGCTTCATCTCCCCTCACATTCACCCTGCACAGCAGTTTTACCAACCTAGAGTCCTCCAAAGACCAAATGCCCTCACATTTCCATGCTTTTGTAACCCCTCTGTCTGAAACAGCCTTCACCCTCCAGTCTAACTGGTATACTCTGATTCATCCTTTGTGACTCACTTGCGGCGCCTCCTCTGTGAATCTTCCACAGAACCTCTTATATACATTCATCTCTTCACTTGCCTCAAGGTATTATGACTGTTCACATCTGTATGTTCCTCCCAGATTACCTAGCATACCAACTCCTTGACAGGAATGATTAGGTTTATTTTAGAACGAAGATGCTCAAGTTCAGCGGTGACATGGAAAAATGCACATGTCCTATATTACATTATTCTATCCCAATGGTCACACAGGTTCTCAAATGCCCTAAGCACCGTCCAAACCTCATTCTTAACGCTCCGAGAGATGAGAGCAATAAAATTTTTGCTGAGAGCTTTGAATGCAATCTTCAGAGCAACCTTATGAGAGAAGCATTATCAGAGCTCAGGAAGGTTAAGTAAACTGGCCACGGTCATAACGGCAATAGAAAGAGCTGACATCTCAGCCCACTGTGTCTGTTTCCAAAGCCCCTGCCATTAATCACTAAACGAACTTGCCTCTTCTTTGACATCTGGGCTTCCTAAGGAGCTATGCTATCACCTAACAAACATTAAATATCTACTGTGTTCCAAGAACAGGGCATGGCATCAATATTGCAAAGATAAATAAGATGTAGTCCCAGCCCCAAGAGGCAGCAAAGAACTGTAGACAAGAGCATGGGCTCCAGGGGCACTGTGGATGCCAATCCCTGCTGTGGTTGGTAATTTACTCCTGTTTCCTCACCTCTACCTTCCTTACTGGGTGACAAGTACTAAATGAGTTCATTCACATAAAAGCACAATAAAACAGTTACTAGTACAAAGCAACAGTTCAATGAACAGTAGCTGCTATTATCACTAATATTTTTTGCTACCACTACCTCTGCTGCTGCTGCTGACATAATCACCACCAACCAAGGAACTGGTATTTATAACTAACAATGTGTTAAAGTGCAATAATGAGGACACCACAGAGAGGCACCCAACAAAGCCTGAGGTTCTTGAGAAAAGGAAGGAATTCATGGAGGAGGAGATATCTGAATCTCAAAGCATGAACAGGACTGGGCGATGCTGAGAAGAGATGGGGTAGCAGCAAGGAGAAGAGTGCCTCTCAGATGGGAGAAACAAAAATCTTACAGTGAGAAAAAAAGATTTTCAGAGAAACACAAAATAGTGATCCAATGTTGCTATGGTCTCTGACGTAAGAAGAATATGATGAAAGATGGATCTTCAGAATTTTGAGCAAAGAAGCTAACACAGTAGAACACATGCTAAGAAACAAGATTTCTCCTGGTGTTTGATACCCGCTGAGTATTTTCTATAGGCATATTGAATTAAAAAGTCAGCTTGGCTTAAGGACAATAACTTTGATTACACTTTTGGGAGGAAAGAGTTTATAGCAGGTTTTATAAAAAATGAGTTTACTCAGAAAAGTCACGGCACAAAAATGTGGTAGGCTAATTCTTTTTAATTTGGATTTAGCCTCAAAGCAAATGTTAATGCTGAAACTATTTGCCATGTTCCCAATACATGTATTTAGCCCAAAGTCACATACCTGAGTATAAGGCGATATGAAACTTGTGATGCATACTAAGCCAGCATCTGCAAACAACTTAGCCACTTCTGCAATGCGTCGCACATTTTCTTCTCTGTCTTCAGGACTAAAGCCAAGATTTTTATTAAGGCCTTGACGAATGTTGTCACCATCCAAAGTATAGCATGGAATACCATGGCAAACTAAGTACTCCTCCAAAGCCATGCTCACGGTGGTCTTCCCTGCTCCAGATAAGCCTAAAATTACACAGTACACAGAGATGTCATACATCAAATCAGAAGGACGAGTTAGTAATAAAGAATTTTAATACAGACTTAATTACATTCATTATTCACAGCAGTCTCTCAGTAACAACCTTACAAATATTTCTCTATAAGATTTACCTCTAAGCTAGAAAAACATCTGTAGTTTAAATATAATAATCATTTATGTTTTTAATAACTCCTATCTATGCCCAAAGGTGTCCTAGAAATCACTGATGAACTTCAAAGAGCTTAACCAATTTTAATATTGGACAAGGTTGAATAGGTATTCCCTTTGTCTTCTTGTTACCACTATTCTAAAGCTGCCCACATTACTTCTGTATGCCCAAATTACTTCTGACAAGAGAAGAAAAAGAAAAGACAAAAGTAAGTGAAATATTATTGTTACCTTTATATCCCAAGATCATCACCTCTGATAGATAAAAGTATCTGGGAATCCAATTTATAACATAATTAACCTTGAAAGAATATCCTCATTTCAACCCACTTGTCTCTACCAATGATGTTACTTCACTAACCAACAAGAAGGAACAAATGAAAGAGCACATTTATGCACTCATACTTGCCACCTTGGGGAATGTGTAATTGTAGAATTCATAACGAAGGTAGCTATGAAGCAAGAGACAGAATATGGAAGACTAATGTACTGACATTCTGGAAAGAAGTCGTGGTAGTATGGAAGACTAACTGAAAAAAAAGAAAGAAAAAAGATATGTTGAGAGGATTAATTCAAAACTAATTGTTTTATACATTAAAAACTTATATGAAGAGCCACATCAAAATTACAACTAAAATACAGAACAACCAGCATCCAGAACTGCCAGAAAGCTGGCTGAATGGAAGTCCTACAACTAGAGAAGTAAAGAAGAAAGCACACTGAGACTGCTGGAGGTGTGGAGGCCCATAATGGGCCAGTCCAGCACCCACTTGGGTCACTTTTTTAATCAGGAGGGAGATCATCTATGCAGAGGCCACCCAGAGGAGCAAGGAGTCCCAGCCCCACTCCAGACCCCCAGCCCAGGGTTCCTGAGCTGGGAAAAGAAGTCTCTAAGGGCAGTAAGAATTACAAGCTGTAAAAACCAGTGCAGACTGGGGCTCAGTGACACAAAGGCTGCTGGAGTTACAGTTGTTCCTCTTAAAAGGCCAGCACCACAAACTGAACTTATAAGGTCCTACTTCCTCTGAGCTCCAGCACTAGGGTGAGGCTCTGGGAAACATAGACACATGCGAGGAGGAACTGGATTGTCTGGCATCAGAGCAGGAACTCGGGGTGGCTTTCTCCCAGATGGAGGTGCTTGCAGGGATGAAAATTCCTATGCTGGGACCTCCCTGGTGCAGGGCTGAGTGGCAGCCATTTCTGTTTGCTCCACCCTGGTGATTCCCTAAGACCCTGCCTCATCCAATTTACAATGCCACCCAAGCTGCGTGCCCTGGCTTTTGCATATGAATGGCCTGTCCTTGCTCAGGCTAAAATCTCTCAAACAGACTATAGCTGGGTCAGGGAGCCCCAAACCTATCAATAAAAGGCCCAAGACTGGCACCAGCACCAGTCTGCCTTGCTTCATACCTGGGTCTCATCTGGGAATTTCTCAAACCTAATACAAAGAGGAGGAATCTGCAGATCTCTCTGTAGCTCCAGCCTGGTAGCACCAGGCAGTAGCTGACTTTGCACCTCCCTGGAGATCCAAGAGCCAGAGTACCCAATGGTCAATGTCAGGCCATATCAGATTACAACTCTTCACATCCATAAGGCACTGACTCAGTGAGCACCATAGCCCCACTGAAGCAAGTCCTGCTCACAGGGGCGTCTTCTGCACAGCAGCTCTCCCACTGTAGATGCAGCTGGTCCTCACAGCCAATTGGCCTGGAGGTTAATTCCTCCCTGTAAAACCAACAGCAATCAAGTCTCAACGACAACAAGATTGTGCTCACAGGCCACAAAGGGTGCACCTAGAGCTCCCAGCTGAGCCACTGGGCCCTATGGAACTCCTACTACACAAGGCCACTCTACCAGCTCAAGGAGACACAGAAGCTCTACCCAATACATGGAAACAAACAGAGGGAAGCAGCCAAAATGCAGAGAAAAAGAAACATGTCACAAATGAAAGAAATGGAAGAAAGCAAACTACTGAATATAGAATTCAAAACCATGGTTTTAAGGTTACTCAAGAATCTTTTAGAAAAGCCCCCCCAAAAAATAGAAAATGACCAGTCAGAATTAACAATACACTGACTGAAATAAAGAATAATATATAGGGATTCAAAAGTAGAATAGAGGATTTGGAGAATCAAATCAATGATTTGAAATATGAGAAAGCAAAAAATACCCAACCAGAAGAGCAAAAAGAAAAAAGAATCCAAAAATATGAAGATAGTGTAAGGAGTCGCTGGGACAACTTTAAGCGTACCAACATTCACATTATGAGGGTGCCTAAAGAAAAAGGGAGAGAGCAAGATATTGAAAATCTATTTGAAAAAATAATGATAGAAAACTTCCTCTCTCTGGTGAAAGAAATAGACTTACAAGTCCAGGAAGCACTGAGAGTCCCAAACAAGAGGAACCCAAAGAGGACCATACCAAGACACATCATAATGAAAATGCCACGGGCTAAAGACAAAGAGAGAATCTTAAAAGCAGCAAGAGGGAAAACAGTTAGTTACGTACAAGGGAATGCCCATTCAACTGTCAGCTGATGATTATCAACAGAAATTATGCAGATCAAAAGGGGGTGCCAAGAAATATTCAAAGTGATGAATAGCAAGGACCTTAAACCAGTATTACTCTACCCAGCGAAGCTATTGTTTAGAATTGAAGATCAGATAAAGAGCTTCACAGAGAAGAAAAAGCTAAAGGAGTTCATCACTACCAAACGAGTATTATATGAAATACTGAAGGTATTATTTAAGAAGAGGAAGAAGAAAAAGATTTTTAAAAAAATATATATGAACAAAATGGCAGCAAATGCATACCTATCAACAACTAAATCTAAAAATCAAAATAAACAAATAAGAAATCTAATGAACAAAATAAACTGATGAATAAAATAAATTCAGAGGCATGAAAATGGAACAGACTGACGATTCTCAGAGGGAAGGGATATGGGGGAGGAGGGAAGAAATTAAAGATCTTATATGAATATATACATTACCTATGGACACAGACAATAGGGTGTTAAAGGCCTGGGCTAGGGCGGGAACCAGGTGGAGGAGGGCAATGGGAGGGAAAAGAGGAACATCTGTAATAATCTCAACAATAAAAACTCATATGAGTATAGCATAACGTTATATTTTCCAAAGATGGCCACAACAGCTATTTCCCATCCTGAAAGGTTTTCTACAATGTAACATTGACACTCTCACATCACTGCCCTTGAATGTAGGCTGGCCATAGGGCTCACTTGTGGCCAAAAGAATGTAGTGAAACAATGACATATCATCTCACACCTGTCAGAATGTTTAATTTAAACTCAATGAACTTTAAACTAAACAAGCAAAACAGACTCATAGGTATAAAGAACTAACTGATAGTTGCCAGAGGGTTGGGTGGTAGAGGTGTGGGAAAAAAGGGGAAGGGGATTAGGAGGTACAAACTTATAATTATAACACAAATAAGTCAAGGAGCTACGAAGTACAACACAGAAAACACAATAAATAATATTTAATAACTTTATACAGTCATCACAGTTACTAGACTTCTCATGGTGATCACTTCATAAGGTATATAAATGTCAAATCACTGTTGTATACCTGCAATTAATGTAATATTGTAGCCGAAACCGGTTTGGCTCAATGGATAGAGTGTCAGCCTGCGGACTGAAAGGTCCCAGGTTCGATTCCAGTCAAGGGCATGTACCTTGGTTGCGGGCACATCCCCAGTAGGAGGTGTGCAGGAGGCAGCTGGTTGATGTTTCTCTCTCATCGATGTTTCTAACTCTCTATTTCTCTCCCTTCCTCTCTGTAAAAAAATCAATAAAATATATATATATATTTTAAATATATTTAGCCAGGAACGGTTTGGCTCAATGGATAGAGCGTTGGCTTGGGGACTGAAGGGTCCCGGGTTCGATTCCGGTCAAGGGCATGTACCTTGGTTGCGGGCATATCCCCGGTAGGGGGTGTGCAAGAGGCAGCTGATCGATGACTCTCTCTCATCGATGTTTCTAACTCTCTAGCTCTCTCCCTTCCTCTCTGTATAAAATCAATAAAATATATTTAAAAAATATATATATACATATATACACATATATATGTGTATATATGTGTATATATATATATATATATATAATTGTATATCAACTAAAATTAAGAAGAGCTTTACATCCCAGAATTTAAAAAAAAAAAAAAAAAAAAAAAGAATGTACTGAAAATGACAGTGTGTGACTGCCAAGGCTGGACTAGAAAAGGCTATGCAGCTTCTCTTTGAACACTTAATTTGAGAAAAGCCAGCTGTTCTGATCACAAGCAGGTGCTGCAGGTGATTAGCTAAAATCCCAGCTGACAAGCATTGTCAGCTGAATCATCTCACACACACCCAGCTCCGGTTGAGCCCTAAGAAGACTGCAGCCCACACCAGTGTGACCTCAACCAAGCAAGACCTACCTGCTCTCCTGAGCCCTTCTGAATTCCTTACCCACAAAATGGTGAGCAAATTAAAATTGTTTTTACACCACTGGGTTTTGAATATATTGTTAGACAGCAATAATACTGAAACAAAGAGATTAACATTTTTGTTGTTTTGCACTACCAGCTGAGAGACAAATTTCAAAAATAAAAAAAAACTGAAACATGAAAATCTAAACTTGTTATAACATAAAGACAACTAAATTATAAGGAAAGCCTATCCACATATGTATTTATATATTTTACAAATTTTAGAGGCCCAGTGCACAAAATTCATGCACATGGAAGAGGGGTGTCCCTCAGGCCAGCCTGCACCCTCTCCAATCTAGGACCCCTTGAGGGATGTCAGACTG